AGAGTGCATGCACAGTGCACAGGAAGTAACAGGAAAGTGAGGTAAATGGGGCCACAGTCGCTTTGCAATTCAATCCTCCCATGAGTCCACCAGGGGCCAGTGTCCCCATGACCACAAGACTGGACGCCCTTTAGTTCTTTGGAATGCAGTGATATTACTCTGTGCAGAATAAATTTAAGGCAGATGAGCCCCCCCCTCCCCCCTTCGCTTCCAACCACTACTTGCATTTTATTGCCAATATAACAACTTTATTTTTCATATTATTTACTTTATTTGGGGACTGCATTTCCCATGAGTTGATGCACATGCATCAGCTACTCCTCCACAATGTTGTAGCCACTCCGCACCTCCCTCCACCCTCCTGTGGCTGCTCCTCTCACCTGAATTTGGGCTGTTCCCTGCTGGGAGCGTCAGGGTCGGTCAGGGCCAGAGTGTACAGTTTACTGGGGTCACATCCTTCCCACTCGATGCAAGTGGGTCGATTTTGCACCTGCGTGTGAACACATGTGAACACTATTAAAACTGGTGCGTCACTCTAATGTTTAGCTGGTTGCATGCCCGAGCTTTAGCAGCTGTAACGCCCATGTGAGGGCGCTATTCACCGTCTATTACAGCTGCAGACACGCTGAAGGCATTATGTAACCCAGTCCATTGTTTGCAAACACGCTGACACCCAATAATCAATTACAAAGCAGCATTTGTTACAAGAAATGTGTTAGCACTGTGCTACGAATATGCTAACTTTTAAGCTAACGCAGGAACGACGCTAAATTAGCAAAGTTGTTAGCATGGCTAGCCAACATTAGTTAGCTAACTAACCTGTGTTGGCGTGAGCACTTTGCCGAGCTCGTCGATTTCCACAGAGCCGTATTTAACAGTCAGAGGCTTCGCAGGCTTCTCCTCGACCTCCAGCAGGGCAAGAGGCCCGGTCCACTGGCTCAAATCTGCGGGCATTTTGACTTGTAGTCCGGCTGCAGACGCTGACTGTACCGTTACTGCCAAGCACACACAAACTGCCAAAAGTGTTGCGTTCAGGTACCACTAGGAGATATAGAAACTAGTGGAGAATTTGCGCGTTTAGCTTACAATTTAAAGCAACTGAATATAAAATATCTTAATTTATAAATCTGAAATCATGTCTGAACGAACTAAAGTAGATGCCAGTCATGTTTACAAGTTTATTCCCCACTGTAGCGCTAATAACAACTAATCGTTTTGATGTCAGTTCCCATTGGTTGATAATTACCAAGTTTGTCGCCCGTTTAAACCACAAAAATGACACTTATGTATGCTGACGTTGCTTCGTTAAGTCAAATGGGAGGTAAATGAAATTATTAATGCTTCTTGTATTTAGTACTGCGTGGTGAAAGGCATTTTTCCGAGCAATGTGACTACATTTGAACGACACAAACTGCACATGCTGAAGGTAACCGTTAGAGGGCGGTGTCGCCTCTCTGCCACATGAATTGTGATTGGCTAAAATGTCTGTCAATCAGATCTCCGCCCGAGCTGGTCCCTCCTCCAGCTCTCATGCTCCATTAACACACTTTCTGTTTCCAGACATCCCGTTTTTAGAAACTGGGGTCTGACTGTGGGATAATTATTTAACTTATTTGAGCGTATTTTACCTGTTAAAAAGTTTAAAGTAGGTCAGAGGTGATCAGTATAGTATTAGCTATATAGCAGTCATTTGTATTACATGATTGATGCCTATTACAGCCTTTATGGCAGTGCTTCATATTTGCATGCCACAGACCTTAAACACACAAACACAGATTTGTGGCATAAATCCCTATATGTGATTATACTAATGCTGACTTAGCTTAATTAACCCTTTGAAACTTAGATCAACACCACTTTTCTTGTGCTGCTTTCAGACACCAGTAGCGAGTCATAAAACCTTTGACCCCTGAGCGAATTGGTGTGATTTCTTTCATAAAAGTGGGCGGGAAGGCAAGGAGCAACTTGGTAAGAAATGTTCCACAAATTGCAAAAACATTAATAGATTTAGAGAAATATTTTTTTAAAAGCTAGGGAGAAATGAAATTTATAATTATCATTACATTATGTTACAGAATTATTATAATTTTTAAACAAGTTTTCCAGGTAATTTCCTTGATTGCTTGTTTGTTCTTAACTTTCTTTTCTTTTCTTTCTCCTTTTTTTTAAACTAATGTTTTGGTTTTATTTATTTTAATTTCTTACTGATTTTTTTGTGTCATTTATTCTTTTGATGCTCATTACCTTCTTCCCATGCTTTTTAAAAAATAATATTCAGGTTTCAGAGGGTAAATGAACAATCATCCTATCATAACTTAAATCACACTTAAATTAATTCAGTTTTATTGTTATGGATGTCAGTTGAATTCAAATAAACACAAGAAGTTTGTGTTCTAGAGAATCAGCACTCAGTGAATAACCTCCTAAGCCCTATGATAAGCTATTATGGCAAGGCTTAACTATACAGACCAGTGAGCAGTGATAACTAACATGTCTTTGGGGTCATCGGGTGGGAACCTCCTTTCACCAGTGTTTCATCTAGTTGGTCCCACGACACCTCCAGGAGGCTACACAGTGATCTCTGGTGTCCCAGAGACACTCCCCTAATGCCAGCTCTCACTGCTCCCTGCACCAACCCAACAACCTCCTATACCTTACTTACACATGGCTTTCTCAGCCCAAACAGCACTGCCACCTTCAACAAACCCAGGCTCCATACATGCGAGCTCCAGGTAGAAGCAGTGCTGATACTACCTTTCCTAGCACATTCACCACAGTCTGTTTCACACACTACATAGCATAACTCCAATATAAGTTAAAGGAGCTAGAGAGGATAAACTATGAATGCTATGAATCCCCTACACCCCACTTCCACTGGACAAATCCTAGTTTTCCATCCTCGCTGTTCAGCTTCTGCTCCTAAGTCTGCATACCTAAGCTTTTTTCTTTCATGAGTCTTCCCAAGGAACTGTCAGCTCAATGAAATAAACTATCTGTTGACTCACTGACCACAACACTATGTCAGGCCTGTGATTGGTACAAACTATTTCCTGGGGAACAACAAACTTTCCCCCTAAATCTACTTGCATTTCCCAATCACAAGCACCTTCTAGGCGGTCACACCCTTGCCTCCTTACTAACTTATCCCTTCTGTATTTCTCCCCCTCACGGACAAACTGAATTGCTAAACTCCTATTCTTAAAACCTTTGCATTGCATCTAAACCAGTGTGTCTTCACTTCACATGGCAGGCTTGAAGAGAGACATCCTCAAGTCCTTCTACAGGTGTGTGGTGGAGAGCATCCTCACTTCCTGCATCACCCTCTGTACAGAGGATCATTGGCTGCAGCTTGCCATCTCTGTCATCCATCTACACCATCAAATGCAAGGACAGAGTGAGTGCCATCATGAGGGACTCCACCCACCCCGGACTGTTTGACCCTCTCCCCTCAGGCAGGCGGCTGTGTAGCATCCAGGCAAGGACAACCAGGCTGAAAAACAGCTTTTTCCCAGATGCAGTAAGGCTGCTGAATGGTGGAGACCTTTTGCACTTTTAGACCATATATCTGCTAAAGTATAGTGTAGTATTACCTCTTAAACATTACCAGGCTCCTGCCTCAGTACTTTTTTTTTTAGGATTTTTGTAGCATAACATATGTTGGGATTCACAGGACCACATATGATTTGCCATTTGTTAAAATCTAAACGGGACATTTGAAGGCTTTTTCCTCTGTATGCTCTTTGTCTTCAAACAAAGAGAGCTATGTGACACCCATCTCCACAGGTCTCACCTCACACCTCAGTGAGACTCAAGTCCCAAAACTTGATTGGACAGGACTTTTACAGTGACATGTGACTCTGATGTCACAGGCATCTGTAGAAGGTCTGCTCCCTTCAGACAAATCTCTCTCTTACTCGGGAACAGCGGAGCAGCCCACACCTTTTTCCTGCTGGGCCTGGACCAGCTCAGATAGAACTCAACATATTTGGGGCCTCCGTGTGAAGCCCAAATTTAAATCCCTACACATACATATTTATAGTACTACTTAAATTAAAAGATTGGATTTCAGGGTGGGCTCCTAGATTCTCTAGGTATATACTGCATTTATTTATTTATTTATTATTCCACTGAGAACGGAGTACTGTATTTCGTTCAGCATGTACATGATGCATGACAAATAAAGCAACCTTGAACCTTGAACCTTGTCTTCAGGTTCTTAAAAGGTCATAAACCATTCTAAATGATTTTTTTTAAATCAAACATATAAGGCCTTGAAAGTCACTGAATAATCCTACATTTAAATGTGTGAGGTCTTGATTGGCAAGAACATTTTATATTAATTAATTTATCATCTTATATTTTCATTGAAATGAATCAAGCTTTTCTGTGTGAAAGTTCACGTTTCTGTTGTTACAAATCTTTAAACATCATTCTGACTAGCCAAAACTGAATGACAGATATCTGTAACGTCATTTTGACTAGTCAAAACTGAATTACAGATATCTATAATGTCATTCTGACTAGTCAAAACTACAGTTACAGATATCTGTAATTCAGTTTGGACTAGTAAGATTCAAACTATTTTTGCCATTCATGTGTATGGGGTTTGTCATTTTGACTATCTGAAACTCAATTCAAGATATCTAGAAAGGACCATGTATATATCTTCAATTGATGATAATTAAAGATATCTTGAACTTGAATTATGACTAGTCAAAATTAAATTGTAGATATCTCAAACTGGAATTACAGATATCCACAATTCAGTTGTAGATATCCGCAATAACAATTGCAGATATCCGCA